ACTCGCAGTATAACGAACTTGCGTTTTCCCCTTTCCCTTCCTTCTTCCCCCGTCGAGTTCCTTTCTCCTTGTGAACAATTTCCTCCCATTTCACAGTATCTGTGGTACAGTTTAGACCTTATTTACTCTTTCAGTTTCTCTCCCAGGGAGATAATGTGATTTTACACATGTGAGTCTGATTTATTTCACTTAGGAGTATGGTCTCAGGAAATGGAAAGATAGCCTTTGCTCATGGATAGGAAGAACCAACATAGTGCAAATGGCCATACTCCCAAAACTGTTATACAGATTTAATGCAATCCTGATCAAAATACCTTTAGCATACCTCGCAGAACTAGAGAAAGCATTCCTAAAACTGATTTGGAAACAGAAGAGACCTAGATTAGCAATAGCAATGCTGGAAAACAAAGGCAAGGCAGGAGGCATTCCCATCCCTGGCTTGAAATTATACCACAAAGCCACTGTGATAAGATCAACATGGTACTGGCAAAAAAACAGACCTGAGGGTTAGTGGAACAGATTAGAAGCTGCAGACACAGCTACAAACACACTCAGCCACCTTGTCTCTGACAAAAGGGCCAAACATGTCCATAGAAAGAAAGATAGCCTCTTTAATAAACGTTGCTGGAAAAACTGGCTTTCCACATGGTGATGACTGAAATTAGACCCATGTCTATCACCATGCACTGCCTTAAAGTCAAATGGATCAGAGATCTAAATATTAAAACAGAAATACTAAATCTACTAGAAGATAAAAGTAGGTAGAAATCTTGAAGACATAGGAGTAGGCAGAGCATTCATGAACAAAACTCTGCACTGGAAATACTTCAAAGAATCAACAACTGGGATCTCATCTTATTAGAACTCTTTTACACATCAAAAGAAATCACCAACAGAGTGAAAAGACAACCCGTACAGTGGGAGAAAAGTTTAGCCAAATGTCACTCAGACAAAGGACTTTTATCTGGCACATATGAAGAACTGAAAAAAATCAAGCCCCCCAAATTTAAAGAGCCAATCCAAAAATGGCCATCTGAGATGACTATGCACTTCTCAGATGAAGTAATACAGATGGAAAACAAATGTATGAAAGAATGTCAACATCATTGGTCATTGAAGAGATGCAAATTAAGGCAACCCTGACATTTTGTCTCACCCCAGAAAGGCTATCATCAAGAAATCAACCAATAACAAATGCTGGCCAGGCTGTGGGAAAAAAGAAACCCTTTTCCACTGTTGGTGGGAGTGTAGGCTGGTGCAACCACTGTGGAAATTAGTGTGGAGATTCCTCAAAAAACCAGGATTAGAGGTCCCATTTGAGCCAGCTATTCCCTTCTGGGTACCTTCCCAGAATTAAAAACACCGTACCACAGTGATATATGTGCATCCATGTTTATAGCAGCACCATTTGTAATAGCTACATCTTGGAAACAAGCCAAATGCCCATCAACCAAGGAATGCTTAAAAAGTCGTTTACTTATTAATTTTTGTATTCAGCATATTTTATATAGGGCTCAAGACAATACTTCTTCATTAATACAGACCAGGAAAGCCACAATTTTGGACATCGATGCAATAAGGTACAACTGACATTTTTCCGTGATTAGGATCAGGTATCTTTAGGGAATATTATTCAGACTACTCCGTATATCTTCCAGTATAGTTTACAATTGATCTCAAAACAAGCACAGGCTGGGGTTACACCTCAGAGGTAGAATGCTTGCCCAGCAAATCTGAGGCTCTAGGTTTGCGCTGGGGGGAAAAAAAAAAAAGAAAAGCTCCCAAAGCACCTGTATTTATTTCCTCGAGCCTGAGGATTAAAGCCTGTGTGACGGATGGCAGAGCACTGGAAAGACCTATATCCTCAACAGCAAAGTCTAACACCAAATGCCCCGCACGCGGAAGTACCCCGCGCCATAGTGTCAGCAGTATTCCACAGCAGAGACAGACCGAGACAAGGAGAGAGAAAGCTGGGACGAGGGAAAGAAAGAAAAAACGCAGAGAGCGGAGGAGGAGAAGGGAAGGCTGTTTCTCACTGCCGCGTACTTCTCTCTCCACTGTGCAACGCTCACAGATGCCGGGGCGTGCAGGTCTCGATCTCGGCAGTGTGATTGTGACTCCCGTCGAAACACTGCTACGAGAAGGTATTGCTACCAGCCCCAGGACTGGTTCTCCACCAGAGCCCCCTCACATCTTCCAAAAGCCCTGCTCCTGCTTCCGCCATGAAAATTTTTCGTTTCAGGTTCTTTGCAAAGCGATTGCCAAGAGGACTGGAAGAGCCAGGGGTTGAACTTCAGCGATAAAGTAGCACCCGCCCGAGTCTTCCACCTCGAGACCCTGCCTCTCTTCTCCTTCCCCTCGCCCTCAGACTGATCCCGAGAGGAGTGGTCTTCCTTCCCCACAGTGAGCCCGGTCCTGTCCCACTGGCACTGTCCCACTGGCACATCCCTTCTCTGCGTGGCTCCAACCAGGCACTACACATTTACCCATGCGTGCAAACTACCAGGCCGCCATCCCTGTCTGTCCTGTCGTCCCCACGGCTTGACTCAACCCCTGGTACAGAAGAGAGCGCCTGACACATGCATACCAGTGTTGGTCTGCGGCGTCCTAGCTCTAAAAGATGTGTCGGGGGCTACTTCATCCCTGAAGTTCAACTCCTGTGTTCTTCCAGTCCTCTTCACAATCGCTTTGCAAAGAACCTGAAACAAAAAATTATCGTGGCAGAAGCAGATGGTGGGATACACTTAGTCCAGGCAACCGGAAGCCGAGCAGCAAAAAGCGCCAGAGCGGAAGGGCCGTGCCATGTGATTACCTGGACCCCACAGCCACACCTCCATTACCGGCCCACACGCAACTAGAAATTGTGCCATCAACCTCTGCAGTGGATCCCAAAGCCAACACCGCCACACCACGCTGCCCTGAAGTCACTGGAGACATGGAATGCGTATGGTGCCATCGCTACACAGCTAGCCTGCCCGATGTGCCTCAGCTACCAAGTCAGCTAGAAATCCTCTCAGCTGTTGCCCTCTACCATATGCCATCCTCCCTGGAGCCAGCTGATTACGGACTCAGACCTCCATAAACCAAGCTAAATCTTTCCTTCCTTAATTCTAGGTGTCATGTTTTGTCCCAGCAAAGTGAGAAGTAACTAAGACAGCGGGATGACTAGGACCTCTATGCGGTCAATTTGGGTAGGTATTGAGGGAATCCAACCACTGCCGCCCTGATCCAAGACCCCTCTAAACCCAGCGCTTCGCAGTGCAGCTGCACCTGGGGACTCACAACATTATCAGCCCTGCAGCGGACAGCAGCCGCTACTCGCTGTGCTTCCCCAAACCCTGTTCTTGGGCAACCATTACCGCTCTGCTTTCTCAAGCCCTGTCCTTGGCAGGTAGGCACAACCCCTTTTCACCAAGCTCCCCGCTCCCCATGACCCTACAACAGACCCCATTACCTGTACAAGAATTCCTGGCCTGGTCTCCAGTGTCAGAGCCATCCCTCTCAGGCCTGTTGTGAAATAAGCATATCCTGTTGGGCTTGAACCTGTCACATCTTTTCGTTTTTCCTAACAGGCAAAGGAATACGTATCCCAAGTATGCATTCTGGAACTAGGAAAATGACCACAGGATGGATTTGGGGATCCATTGGATGTGCTGTGAGTTAGACCTGGTTAAACCTCCACTGATCGCTTGATGTGTGTCTTAGTACGGGGTGACAGTTCATGGCAGCAGAAAACAGCAAAAGCAATGAGAGCAAAAGGGGAAAGCAAGCCTCTCTTCCATCCCTTACACTGTACCTACGCTACCTGCCTAGGCTAGGTATGGAACTCACACCCCCAATCCTAGCACTAGACAATGAACGAATCACAAACTTTAGATTCAGCTGCCACCCAAAAGCCTGCCCCTCATGACCACATGAGGCTTTAGGGGGACATCCACAAACCATAACAACCTGATAGACCCCCTACTCTTACAGGAGGGCCACAGTTATATTTTGTTTCTCCGGGATCAGTGTTAGTTCAGGACTAGTGTCCAGTAGTCCCCAAAATGCCTACTTTCTCTTCCTTGTTGTATGGCTAACCTGGTAGGAAGGATGAGAGAAAGATTAACAATATACTTTTTTTTTCTTGGTTTTTTTTTTTGTCTTTTTGAGACAAGATCTCACTGTGCAGTTCAGGTTAGCCTTGAACTCACCTTGTAGCCCAGGCTGGCCTCGAACTCACAGTGATCCTCCTGCTTCAGCCTCCCAAGTGCTGGGATTACAGGCGTGCACCACCTCGCCTGGCCAACAGTATACTTTTGGTAGTGCACGAGAGTCCTTCCTCAGGAGGACCTCGCCTCCCTTTCATTCGGGGGGTTCTGGGTCTCTAGAAACACGTCTAGGAATTCAGGGAGGAGTCTGTGATTCTGTGTTATGATTTAAGGGGGGGGTTTTGTTCATTTGTCCTAAAATTTTTCTGGTTATCCCAATGCAGTAAAAATTTAGTTTTCCTATCTATTTCACCCCTAGGAATGCCATTCTTAATTAGCCTACACCACAGGTCTGCACCATTCCCATCACTGCTTTGGCTCTGCTGCCCACTATGCTGAGTATGCCCACCTCGCCCGTGGCAGTTCGGCACTGCCACTTGGCCCTGCACTCCAGGATCCAACCATACTAGCTGACTGCCTGTGGTCCCTACCTTCAGGTCTGGCACGCAGAGAAGAGCAATGATGGAGTCCTTTAGGGATGCTGGTACTCCCTTCAAAAATCTATTTCTTAAGGTACTGGTAAAGGAGGCATTTTCTGAACTCTCGCAGTGTTGAGGATTAGGTTTTACCTGGCAGATGGCCCAGCATTCCCATCTGCTTGCACTTCTGAATGGCCTCATCCACATTAAACAAAGAACAGCAGGCTCTTCCAGCTTATTCACACTGGGCCGTCTTTTGAGCTATACTTCTGTCAAGAAACCAAATAAACTATTAACACATTTTAATTTGACAAGCTATAATGCTAAGCCCAGAATCTCTACTTAATGGGCCCACATCAAAAAAATTCAGCCTGATCCAGGTTTATGTTCCTTCTACCATTACATGACCCTTTTAAAAACCGTTCTTATACCTGATCCCCCAACCTCTTACTCATAAGAATTAGAAAATTACAGAAGTTCTTTGGGAATATAGTCTACTTCCTCCTGGGTTACACTGTGTACCTCAGCTTCAGAAGCCTTCTGCCATTTTATCCTGGTTACAGGAATCCAGGCAGAAGTAGATGGGGAGGGCAGGCTCTGAGGAGCGTGAGCTGATAACTGCTAGAGGAACAGGCCTGTTCCCATGGCAACCCAGGATTAGTTCCCTCAGGCAGAGGAGGAGAGGCCAAGGCCGGAGGGGGAAGGGATGAGGAAAACTGACACAGAGAATGCAGAAATCTTTTCCTCTGGCAAAATGATCTCATCAGAATTTAGGACCTTGATGTCCTCAGCTTCACGGGGTTACTCCTGAACAGTACTCTCTATCCCAGTTTGAGATCCCAGTCTTTTCCGATCAGAGACCTCACTTTATTGCAGATCCTTTCCCAGGGTGAAAAGCTTGTACTGTAATCCAGCCAGTCCCACGCTAAGGGCTTTACCCGTTTGGTGTTCTGGAACTTCAGCCCTTGGGCTTTTGTCCAGCAGTTCCTTTAAAAATGGCTCGCCAAACCAAAGTATTCTAGGTCCTTCTTGTCTGGAACAAAGAATTAGATGAGAAAGGCTAAAAAATGGTGTGAAAAGTTTATTTCAAAATGAGGGGTGAAGGAGAAAGGGAAGAACTAGCTCTGCAGAGTAAACTTAGGCCAAACAGAGAGAAAAAAGGATTAACAGTGATAATAAAGTGCTCCACGCAGGGTGGGCCATCGTGCGGTGTCACGAGCGCGAGCTCCTCGCCGCGTCTGTTCTTTTTTATGCTGTCCACATCCCATGAATCTTTATGGGGTGCTAAAGGCGTGGTGGTCTGTTTGCTACAGCTTCTTCCAACTGGGAGGGGCTGTACAGCTACCTGTCATGGATTAGGTGTACTACACCCCCTCAAAGTCCTGATTCAGAGTTTGCCACCTCAGTTGTTCATGGATTTTTCCTTTGTACCTGACTAATAATGGTTCCCAGAAGCCCCCGCAATTTTGTGCAAATCAGCTATCCTCTGCAGTTATTTTTTTGGTGGGAAGTTTCCAACCCCAGAGTATTACTCAGTCCTCTGCGCTGTTGACCAGCTGCTGCCCTTAACCCACCCCCCGCAGAGGCCCCGCACCCTCTCATCAGAACAGGGTGCTGTACCTCCTGTCGCTATTCGTGTGTGCTCGATTTTATTCCTCTTAAAGCCCCAGGATCCCTAAGATGCCGCCGAGACACCCTGTACCTTCTAAGGCTTTATTAATTACAGTGTTTTTATTAAGTTAATTGCTTAAGTACTGGAGACAGCATATTTAGGCTTTAAACTATAGAAACAGGCGTTTGTAGGCATTTGTTCTGATCATATCTGAAATTTGTGGGTTTTCACAATTCATAGGTGCTCTAGGAACGTAGCCCCCACGAATTTCAGGGGTCCACTGTACTTTCCAGCTACCATGGGGTATTGTGGTTCCCTAGCTGGGTTCTGAGAAAGACCTCTGAGAAAATAATGAAGAAAGAGTTAGCGACCATTGAGCTGCCAGTGTGACGGGAGCAAGAAACTTCACTATTAGCCCAGAGTGAGGAGCAGGTCAGGTCTCCACACTTCCTGTGGAGAAGAAGGTATCTTAGAGGTATGTCAGATAAATTATCAAGAGTCTGGGAGCCAGGGCCTTAGCAAGATCTTGTTTACTGATCTGTAGCTGGACTGGGGCTTTGCTTTTTAAAGAGATTCGGTATCTCAAGTCTCCCAGAGGCTCACAGGAGGAGCTTTCTCCTTTGGGTGATCTTGTTCTTTAGACAGTTTAGGTGGGGCTAGATTTGATCTTGAAAGATTAATCTGATTCTTTCTGCCACCTTTACTGCAGTGGGTGCTTCGGGGAATCACGGAAAAGGGACCTCTCCGCTTTGGCTTTAACTGGCCTGCTGGTGTTCCCTCTCTCCAAATGTTTACAGGAGCTGATAAAGCTTGGGCTTGTCCGGGTTGTTGTGGCATAAAGTAGGCAAACTCTGCAGACTTACTGGGTGGTTGTCACTCGTCCTAATCCTGGGAAAACTCAGGTGACCATTTCCTGTGTAGCATCTCTTCCCATGTGGAAGGAATCATGAGGTGTTTTCACAGCGTCCACTGTATCCCTTGGGGAAGGACAAATTTGTTTCCTAAGTACTACCCGAGTCTCCTTTTAAGTCCTCCTTGTCCTAAGGCCCATTTCCTTTCCTGGGGCGTATAGACTGGTTCTAATGGTTCCTCAGAATTAGGAATAAGGCTAGAGTCTTAAGGAGCTGTAGGGCTGCCCTTTTCGCTTTGGCCTTTTGATTTCCCAAGGAGATTTTAGACATGTCTCCCTGGTGTCCTTTATGACTGCAGCCTATCTGGAATGACGGATTGGCCCTAGGAGCTGTAGAATTTCCTGTCTCTGTTTTATAGATGGTTGTTTACTTGTCAGTAAGCCTCCTTCCTTCCAGAGCACCGGCATATAGCACCAGAAAGGAATGTCTGGAGTCTGTACAGATACTTAAACTTCTGTCTTTTCCTTTTCCTAATATCAATGTCTGAGTAAGAGCTACCGGCTCTGCCTTTTGAGCAGAGGTTCCTAGGATAAGAGGTTTATCTTCAGGGGCTGCTTGTGAGCTCACCACTGCATAACCTACCTTTTGATATCTTTCTCAGACAAAGCTCCTTTCATCAGTGAACATCTCATGGCTTTGGAGGGGCAGGTCACTGATGCCCTGCCTGCTTCAGAGGTCTCAGAGATGGCTTATTTGTAAGAGTGGCGAAGCTTTGAGCCTGTACACATCAAAGAAGCAGGGTTGGGGCTGGGGATTTAGCTCAGCGGCAAAGCGCCTGCCTGGCAAGCGCAAGGTCGTGAGTTTGGTTCCCCGTACCAGAGAAAAAACCAAAAAAAAAAAAAAAAAAAAAGAAGAAGCAGGGTTATGGTAGTGCAAGTTTTTATAATTTCCTTAGGGGTATCTAAGAGCATGGCCTGATGCTTAGTCAGCTGTTCCCCTGTAACCACAAATAACCTTTGGTCTCCAGACTAGCTTCAGCCTGATGGACAGTCAAAACTTCTAGTCTCTGACCCAAAGGTGATTTCAGAGCTACTTCTGTTACTGCAGCTATAACTGCTATTGGTTCTCAGGCAGAGTGGCCATCCAGCAGCCACCCCATCTAAGTTCTTTGAACAGTATGCCGCTGGCTGGGGTTCTTACCCTACCCTTCCGGTCAAGACCCCCAGAGCATTTCTTCCCTTTTGCATTACACAGAGAAAGAAGGGTTTTTAAAAGTCAGGTTTTCCCAGTGCTGGAGCTTGAATAAGGACATGCTTCATTTTTCTAAAGGCACTGTCCGTCACTTTTGTCCATTCAAAGGGCAAGATTCACAACCTTTTCCTGCCTCACACAGACTTTGCCATTAGTTCAAAATTAGGTAGCCAGATCCTACAAAAGCCTCCATTCCCTGGAAAGAACAAAGCTGCTGCTTGGTGGTAGGAGACCCAAGATCACAGACAGCCTGGATCCAGTCCCCAGGTAGATGAATATATATCCCAGCTATTGAACGTTTTTTTTTTGGAGGGCCATCTGAGCCTTTTCTTTGGAGACTTTATATCTCTTCTAGCTAGAAAGTTAAGCGTTTGTTCAGCGTGACGGTTAGTTTCTGAGTCGGGCTGCAAACTGTTGTATCCTCTGCGTACTGCAGGGTGGTTCCTTGCGCTAGCTTTAGGTTCAAGTCTTTTCCTGGTGCCTCCTCCCCGTTCATATTGAACCCTGGCCATATTACAACAGTAGACGTGCCGTTTTTGTTTTAAACTGTCAGGATCAAACCTGCTCCGTTCATCAAGGATACAGCCTCGTCCAGAGTCGGTGCGGTCTGCGCAGAGATGAGATGCAGGAGGTTTCCCTTTGGTTTGGCTGGGCCCTACACAGAGGAGACACCGAGGCCTGTGCTCCTTAAGGTCTGGTCCCACACGAGGAGGAGACCCGAAGGTTTCACAGTGTCTCCCTTCTAAGAGCCTGACTCAGAATAGACATCTCTGAGTGAAGCTGGCCTCATTAGGGACAGAAGAAGGTCCCCTCCGGGGCTTTTGTCTCCATATCTGGACCCCTTAGCTCCTTAGGGAGAAGGTACAAGCTGGTTGGCCTAACAGCGGCCTTGAACTCCCTCAAGGGCAGAGCTTCCCCAGGCAAAGCTCCCTTAGCCCCCTAGTTGAACCCTTTGATGGCCCAACTTGCATTTCGAGTCCCTTGATGACTTAAGCAGAGTGCGACCATGGGGGACAAGTTCTCTTACATCTATTCTGATGGAAAGAGTACTGAGAACTGGGGGTTAGCTCTGTCACTTCCTTTGGGTTTTAAACGTTAAACCTTTGTCTGTTCAGGCATCAGGGGTCCCTGCCCTGCCCTGGTCGACCAGTCGGAGCTCCACCCCCAACGGTTTTTTGACTTCTTAAAGGGATAGTACAGAGTTTTCCTAGGGACTGAAAAATAAGGTTCCTCCTTGGTTTTCCATAAATTCATGTATTATTTAAAATCACAAACCTATTATTGAAGATCAGAAACCCAGGCATGGCGGCGCATGCCCGTAATCCCAGCATTTAAAAGGCTGAGTCAGGAGGATTCCCCCAAGTTCAAGGCCTGCCTAGGCTGCATAGTGAGTTCAAGGCCTGCCTGAACTACATAGCGAACCGTCTAAAAAAAAAAAAAAATCAGAAGCTTAACTCATAAGGCTAGTTATTTTAAAAGAGACAGGGGCTAGGGATTTAGCTCAGCGGCACAGTGCCAGCCTGACAATCGCAAGGTCGTGAGTTCGATTCCCGGTACTGGAAAAAAAAAAAAAAAAAAAAAAAAAAAGGAGAAAAGGTGGTGGAGAACACAAAAAAGATGGCGGAGGCACCTGATGCTCACCCACATAAAGGTTAGTCTGGACTAATACGAGACAGCAGGAAGCCCGACCAAAGCACAGCCCGAGAAAAACGGTTGGCAAGTGCAACGCCAACAGAAAAGCCACTTATGAAACTGAGGTAAGCCTGGGCATTTCCAAAAGGTAACAAAGTAACAAACGAAACGAACAGAAAGGGGGCGGGGGGGACGGGCCGGGGATACAGCTCTGGCACAAGCGCCTACCTGGCAAGCGGAAGGTCATGAGTTCGATTCCCGGTACCAAAAAAAAATAAAAATAAAAATAAAAAAATAAAGAAATGAACAGGAGGAGGCCAACTTAATTTCAAAATACAGCAATCCAAAGCCGGGGAAGAAAAGGCCCGATCGCGAGCGGCAACAGAAACAAAACAGTCCGTTCCCTTCTGGTCCCCATGCCTAGGAAAGCTGCAAACCGCTCCCGGTGCGCCCCGACAAGGGATTTCGTACAGCCTTACCCTGGTTTCCAGTACTTGAGACACCTGAGTAAAGACTCTTACAGCCAGACGCGCAAACTGTTGGGGTGTTTTGGCTGTTTCTCCATAGTTGGGTAATGCTCTGAAAACCACGTAGCAAAGCACTCCAAAAACGGCACCATAGCGAGCTCCACGTGGCATCTGGGCCCATTTATGCCATCCACATCTCGTGGGAGCTCGCGAGAAATTCTGTGTCTGGGTCCTCAGAGATCTTGGCACAGCCCTGGGATTCTGAAATTGACAAGTCCCTGACCCTCCCCCACCTCTCCAGCCCACACCCCAGACATGCGCA